TAAGTCACACATTCACAACAATAAATCAGAATAATCTTTTCAATATCACAAAATGTGTTACTCATGCAAAACTTTTCTTCAATACGAAAACTATTTCGCAAATCCCACCGATTGATCAATCGATCTACAAACAAATTAAACCTTGACTGTCCAGTCGGACTGAAAGTGCAATCAGAATATGTTTAACTCTATCAGCTAGCAATACACTTCCAAGCAGCTCAGTTGCATGGCGTTAAGGGAGTCGCATTTTTAATAAATTTAATTAACTACAAAGTATTCGAAAATGGTTTATGTCTTGAATCCTGAAAGAGTGCCACTCTTAACAGGATATCTAAAGTATAACTTTAATTGTAAATAATAAAGTTAAAAATTATTTAATTTCTAGTGACTTCTTCAATTTATATTTCTATTTTGTTTACTTTCAGCAAATGCAATTGGTGTCCGTCACCTACAGGCGTTGCTGATGTTCCTGGGTATAGTTTTCGGTTATTTTCTGCGCGTTAATATGTCTGCTGCGATTGTGCCAATGACACAGCCGACGGCTGGTGCACCATACTACGACTGGGACCCTTCAACAAAATCGCTCATTCTGAGTAGTTTCTTCTGGGGCTATGTTGTCGCGCAATTACCATCAGGACTATTAGCAAAACGTTTCGGTGCTAAAATAGTGCTAGCCATTGCTACTGGTATTGCAGCTATTATCACAATATTTCATCCTTTAGCAGTCAACAATGGTGATTGGCAGCTTTTGTGTACTTTGCGTGTGTTTGTAGGTCTGACACAGGGCGTCGTCTATCCTTGTCTACATACTTTGCTTGCAAAATGGGCGCCACGTACAGAGCGTGGTTTTCTAACTACATCAGTATATTCGGGTGCACAATTCGGTACAGCTATTATATTAGCGACCAGTGGTGTTATATTTGATTCGGAAGCATTAGGTTGGCCAGGTATCTTTTATATATCCGGTGGCATAGCTTTAGCCTGGTCAGTGTTGTTTTTATATTTTGGTGCTGATACACCGGCAGCATCCAAATCTATCAGTATAGCGGAAAGAGAATATATTGAGAGTCTTACTGGCAGTGGTACAGATAGTCAAGTAAGTCCAATTATGCCCAAATAAAAACAAAAGGTCTTTTTTAAGTAAAATATAAAATTTTTTCAGGTCTTAGCTGTGCCATGGAAATCCTTATTTACTTCTCTGCCGTTCTATGGTCTAATAGCCGCACATTGTGGTTTCACTTGGGGATTCTATACATTGCTCACTGAAATGCCTACCTATATGAGCAGTGTGCTACATTTGGATGTTAAAGCCAATGCGCTACTTTCAGCGTTACCATATTTTGTTATGTGGGTGTTATGTTTGATTGTCAGCCCCACATCAGATTGGTTAATAAATCGGAATATATTAAATATTACTGTAGCACGAAAATTGTTTAACACTATCGGCCAATGGGTGCCTATGTTGTGTCTAATAGGTGTAGCTTACATGACGGAAGAAGAAAAAACTCTTGCCATTGCTTTACTAACAATAGGTGTCGGCTTTAATGCTGCTTCATTTTGTGGCTATTTAGTTAATCACATGGATCTTTCACCAAATTTTGCTGGTCCTATGATGGGCGTGACAAATGGATTTTCAAATTTAATGTCGATTTGTGCACCTTTAGTTGTGGGTGCTATTGTTGAAAATGAGGTTTGTTTATCAAAAAAACAATTCAAATAAAATGGAATATGTGTAAATAATTAACTTATACTATCTTTACAGGAGGATCCTAATGAATGGCGTATTGTGTTCTTTATCACAGCAGGTGTATATTTACTATGTAATTCTCTCTTCCTTATATTTGGTAAGGCAACAGTACAGCCCTGGAATGATCAAACTGTGACAAGTAGCACAAGGTCATTACAAAAAAAATCAGATGAAGAGTTAGATAATACCCCTACATCTTCAGCTTGGACAATTGATTCAAAGGTTGCTTGAGAGTTTTACTAACGATGTTTAATGTGTGATATGTAGAATAAGATAATTTTAAGAAAAAAATTAATATATTAGTTATTAGTGCTATAGTTAAGCTAAGCAAAATTTTATAAGCTACTAATTAAGTATGGAAATTAATATTTTAATAAAGACCCATGCCCCATAAGCTGTAAGACTAACAAACTATGACGTTTTGATTTTCATATTAAATTTGAATATTTTAAAAACATTTCTATTTGGTTTTATTGAGTTAAATTTAAATGTTTATTATTTTTTTAGTTAAACTTAAATGTTTATTATTTTCACAGTTAATTGACATTCACTCAATTGTTCCAAATCATCCTTCAAAGTGACAGAGCATGTTAAGAAGTAGCGGAATTTTTTTCCATAGTGTTTGAACTTCAAAACTGATAAGACGATGTCTGCCTAAGTTTTATTTAATGACAGTTGATTTCTTAATCTATATGAGAAAATTTTATTTTATTGATTTAAAAAATGAATTTTACAATATAATGCAATGGTGCATGAATATTACCCAGCAGGAAATTCTTACCTAGAAGATATGACAATACGCTCAAGTTGAATGGTTCGGTTAAAAACTTCTAAGGAACTTCTAGTAATAAAACTGGACTATGAATAAATTTATGTTATCTAAAATAAAAAGTTCCTGTCAAATCATTTATATATTGTATTAAATGTAAACGTATATATAGACTGGAAACCAATCTAACACTTCTAAAGAAATAAGAACAAAATGAACAAAAGTCAAAAATGTTTATATTTTCCAGAAGGTTTATCATTCCCAAAAAGTAAAGATGTGTGACTTTTACTACTTCAAAATTTGGAAACAGAACAGAAAAGTTTATAACACTATATCTATTAGAGTTTATGCAAATATTAACTGATCGACTTGGCACTTTCCTCGAGAACAAATTAGAAATAGTCACATATATCAATACTAAAAGCTTTAGAATAAATTTAAGTTTGGTTTTTGTCCAAAAAGTGCAATAGATGATGTATGTATGTAATGATTTTGGATGTTCGTTGTCCAAAAAAATTAAAATAGTTAAATATATGGACGGTTGGTTGACAGATATCATTCCGTTTCTTAAATTCAAATTTTTCGTTGTTTTAATCTTTGTTTGAAATCCCTTTAAATAAAGTAGGTCCACTCAGTTGAGTTTATAAAGAAATCTTTTATTCTTACTGATGAATTGACAGATTATTAAGAAAGTACTTCCCAAAAAATCTCTGTACCTTCTGAGAAAGTATGACTTTATCTTTTGTTATCCAACTTTTAGAATAAGTGTCGAACAGAAACCGCAGTTTCTCTGTGTGAATTACCATACACCAGCAGCCTAAAAGAAAGTTCAAGGACGTGGTTTTTCTATATGTCGACCGAAATGTTTCACATGTTCTGAGTGACTTCAACCTTTTATTAGCAAGCCGCCAAAGTGAAGCTAGATGCCTTTCTTAACGCTCTTCTAGAGATAACCACATATTCTGAGAGACTTTCGCCTTTTATTAGCTACTCGCAAAAGTGAAGCAAAATGTCTTTTCTAACAGTCCACTAGATACAACTATTAAACCGCCAAAGCCGGTTAAACTATATGCTATTTGCTATTTGTTGCGATAATCAGTGGATATCTATATGGTAAATAATATATATTTAAATAAAAGAATTACAAATACGAATGCAGGGGTTAGGATAAGTGTAACTGTTAGTCATAGAATTCCCTATACCAGTAGTTACATGTTTGTTTTGATGTTCACTTACTTTAATTTAATTGTAAAATACTTAAAGATTTTAAATGTCGCTTGGCTGTCAATGAAAATGGCTTACATCTATTCTCGTTGCGGTTTGTTATTCACCGACATCTGCCTCTAATCGCTAAGGAAATTGACATAACTCTATCTAAAAATGGGATTATGAGAAATTCAATATGTTGTTGTTGTTGTTGTTGTTGAGGTTTGAGTTAGTGATATTGCGCACTTTTACTCTTTTGAGGCTGGGGGGGCTTATCCTGCCCCACACAAAAATCTTTGAAAGATTGCTCTTTGGAAGTAACAATATTATTATCATTAATAATCATATTTCAGAAGAACTACATATAAATTAGAATCAGTCTTTAAATATCATATATATAAATGATTACTTCCAATACTTACAAATGAAACTATAAATAACAATTAATTTAGGTCATTTAAATTTTTTGGGACCTTTCTGCTCTTACTCAACTCTACTCTAATATATACTATTAAAAGTTAAAGTTTATTTTCATATAATATTTTATATACTTGTCATTTATTAAATGTGTTGAATATTGTAATAGCACATAATCTTATTAATACTACTTGATACTTTCAAATGTTGATAGAGATAATAATCATCAGTATGATTAGAAAATATCCTCTACTTATGGTATATTAATTTCTTTGGACCTGCTAATACTTTATATATACTCGGTTAAACTTCGGTGTTTTTTACTTAAGATAAAGTGCTTTTATTTAAGTTATAATAATTTATATATGTAATGAATATATTTATTATATTAACCTTAATTTATAAATAAATAGAAAAAGGTACAAATTTACGTATAAGCAAAGAAATTAAAATAAAATGGAATTTCATTTGTTTGAAAACTACTTGAAAGCTATTAAACTATTATAAAATTATCTTTTAAAATATGATATATTTTTTTATAATATTCATTTTGACAGACAATTGTTAAACAATAATTATTTGCATATCTAATCATTATGATATTTAGTATGTGTCTTGGATAATAAAACTTTTGTCAACAAAATCTGTACATGTGTAAAACATTCACAAGCGTCATGTAAAATACTTTAAATTTAGAAAACAGCAATTTAAACAACATAAAAATACGCGAATAATTAAAAATTAAAGTTTTTATAGAAATGTAATAAACAAGTGACAATAACAATTATTTAAGAAGTGCACAAATTATATTTTAAGTTCTTAAATATTTTAAAAAGTTTTATTTATCTGTGTTTACAATTTCTGATTTTATATATAAACTTAATCAACTATTTTTACAATAAATGTTATCTTAAGTAACAATAGTAAGATAACGCTATGTGGAGAAATTATCTTGTTATAGTTTTATAATAATTTTAATATAAATACATATAGTTTGTGTTTGAAATTTGTTCGCACAGCAAATCAAAATTATCAGCTACACTATAGGTTTGAACTAATTTAAATTGAGTACACTTTATAAGTCACTACCCGCTTTACATTTGGCTCTAATTACTTTGTATTAAATACTTCTTTTTCTTCGCTAAAAAACGTTAATTTGAAAATTTATTTTGTTTTAGTTTTATTTTCAAAACTCCTCTGTTGTTCCAACTTCGAATTTATATAACGTGGTACATGTTGTGTACGCATTACTGTCCATATTGAAACTACCCAGCTAAGAATAATTGTTGCATACAGTATAGGTGGAAAGGACTTTTCATTACCAACGGGGATTTTAGCTCTTAGCACATGTTTAATTTTATAATTAACTTTTATGAGTAACCAATTACAATTGTTAACATTTGTTGACAGATCTGTATTATTTCTTGCCGTCATAAAAGTTGTTTCGTTTTGACAATATAAAACACCTGGTGTTAATTGAACTTCATGATCAATTAAATTTTCCATGTTATTAACACATCTTATAAACATTTTTGGTGGTTCAATATCAACAGACACAAAACTGTAAATAATAAATATAGTTTTTTAAATGTATTATACAAATATTGTTATGATTTTACCGCTTATCACTAGGAGCATGATATCGAAAATGTATGGGTAAATTAATTGCGCCAGTTGTTTTGGTGACGCCCTTCAGTAGTACTGTAAATGGTTCTGCCTTTTCAGTTGACAATTCAATATCAACAAAATTGGGGTATACAGCACTTAACTGAAATTATAAAAAAAATATATATATAATGATTAAAAATTAATTGTATAAAAATATTTACTTTGTTTAAACGCTGTAAATCATCCAATTGATCTTTGCTAACATAAACTGCAGCGGGCAAAAATTGTTGGAGCATATACTCACACGCTTCATCAGCTAGTGGTTGCTCGAATTGTATATTATATTTCAGATTGCTAAATGTGGTACAATTCAAATAAATAACATATAAATTTTATTAGTAAATAATACCGATGGAAGCCAGCTTCATTCATGTTGATGGAGATTGTTGGTGTTATTTCTGCAACACATTGATGCCATCCAGCATATAAAAGAAGCAATGTACTTATTACTAAATATACCGTCATTTTTAAATAACAATTTCAAAAAATAAATCTTATTATTATTTCACATATATTTCTGATTTATGTATTCGAAAATATGAAAACAAACGCACAACTGCTGCCAGCTGTTTTCTTATCTCTACAACACAGGGTTGCTTTTGCAGCAAGTATTTTATTTGATGTACTACGTTTTGATCAGCTGTTGTTACTACGTTTAATATAACGTAAACTAAGATGGCTATATATAACGCTTAACGTAACTGTTTATTTAATTTTAAGTTGCAATATTTATTAATATAAGTGAGACTATTTATTATTGCACAAAAAAAAATATTTAGAAAAACATGTGGACTACAGCATATATTGATGCTGAAGTAGGTAACAATTTTAAAATAGCGGGAAACAGAAGAATTGAACCAAAAAGACGCCAACTGTGAATCCAAAGTGAAAGACACTCGTTTGAAACGTTTAAGGAGAAATAGAAGAAAGCATTTTGTTGCTTCTACAATAAATGTAAATATAACGAATAAAGTAGTACACCGATAAAATTAGAAGTAAAAATTCAACATAATTTGAGTTTAACGACGAAGTGAATAAGAATATTAAATCACAACAAAAAGTTATTATAAAAAATGAATAGTTCTAAAAGCAAACAAGGAACATTTAAAATGCAAATAGATAGTTAAACCCAAAAGAATATGATTTATTCTTTATTTATTTATTTATTAACTTGAAAATAACAATAAATGTGATAGCTCAGCATATGATTAAAAAGGATGAAATTTGGAAAATAAATATAATGGATAAAGAATGGAAATTAAGAAATAAATATTATGAGAACTAAAAAAAAGAGAAAGTTATTTAATAACAAATTTGTAAGTCAACAGTAAGACTCAAAATATATTCAAAAATAATCGAATTTACAGTAAGATGATAAAAAAATTTAAATAAAGTAGAGTTAATTAATAAGCAATATGTTTGGGCTACAACAACAACAAAGCGTGACTTTCCTGTGTAGAACAGCAAAACGTTTAAAATTTTATCAATTCTGAAATACATTTTCTTTTCAGTTAAGTACGCATACTTCATTTTATTTCATTCTATTTGCTTATAATATTCATTATTATTATTTAGTAATCTTTGATAACTCTTATATAAATACAATCTGAATATAAAAATATACATAATATAAACAAATATAAAGAGCACAATTTTGATATCATTTTTTGGAATGATTTTCTTTGTATAATATCGAACCCTCACGTGCTAATTTATCTGCCATTTCGTTGCCTTTGATGCCCTTATGTGCATTTACATAGTTCTAAAAATTAAATGATCGGTTAAACATTTTTGTGACTTCATAACTTTTAATTTTCTCACCCATTTTACAGTTGTCAGACCTTTCTGAATCAGTTCATCTAGCTCCCTAAAATCAGTCACATTTTTTACAGGTCCACCACTTTTCAACTGCCAATTATTACGTTTCCAGCCGCGTACCCATAATGTTATAGCATTGATCAGAAATTGTGAATCAGTACTTATACAAAGCTTTGGTATCGCTATATCATGAGCAACTTTTATTGCATATATAGCAGCCTGAATTTCGCCAACATTGTTGGTTACCCGACCAATCACAGGTTTAGCAGTATTTCTATTAAGGACTACATATTAAATGTCTATACAATAGAAAATTAAATTTATATTTATTTACAATGGATGATCTTCACCGAAATACACTCCAAAACCTGCACATGCTTTATCTGTGCCATTGCCAAAACATGAACCATCTGTGTAAACAATAACATATCCTTGTTCATCGATCTCAAAATCGAAGCTACCAAAACGTTTTATTGCTGTTGCTTCCCAAACTTTTGACACATGCTTACGAATCTTTGTTGAAGTTCCTTTAGTTTCTTCTACATATTTTCGTTTCAATCCTGCACTGCTAGATGCAAGGGGCACAAATTCTCTATGTATTCCTTCTACCTCCGCTAATGCAGCAGTCTAAAGAAATGTATTTGATATTAATAATTAACAATTCATGTACAACTTTTTTATCTCTACCAATTCTAATTCTATCTCATCAACGTTTTCATCTTCCTCACCCTCTGGCCAAAAATCTTTTTCGATTTCTTCAGATTCACTTTGTGACACTTGTACTATAGAATTTTTATTTAAAGGAACAGCATCATTCATAGGATCATAGCTATTGTGTGCTACACCATCAATAGCATTTTTAAGAAATTTTTCAGCTTGTGTCCGCGTCGGAAATTTTTTGTATTTGGCTCCCTTAAATCCTTTTACCTGAGCTTCACATTTTGACCTACATACAATTTCTGTAATTATTAATATGCGATTTGTTAAACAAACTTACCAGGAGTCAAATATACCTATTTGACGTCCATTGGCTACAGCATAATACGCCATATTCCTGAAAATATTAATGGTTTGATTTCGCATTACATGTTGCAGCAGCAACATCTGTGATTGCAATTTGTAAACAGTCGGCGAATAACAAGAATTTTAAAAAGTACTTTATTCAGAGTTGCATTTAAACATTATAAAAACATATGTAGTATTTAAAGTGAAAATCAAAACACACTTGATAACATATATATGATAATAAAAACTTGTTAATAATATATAAGATGGAATATTTATATATAATTACAGTTTTATACTTGAATGCGTGCAGCTTAACTTGAATGCGTTAAGATACATAGTATCAAATCGCCATTTGGCGAACTGATATAGCTTATAGTACACACACTGTCTCATTTAGGTACTTGCTAATTTATATTAATGAGTGAACGTTCACATTTTAATGAACTCATTTATGTAGCTGTTAATAATATATCACACAAATAAATTAAATATATAATTCATATATTAAATAATTTATATACATTGTATGTATCATTTACATATTAAATTAATAAAAACTAAGATTTTTTTAAATACTTATTTCGTCAGTGCCAAACTTCGTCAGTAATTAACTTATTTATATAAACGATTTTTATATGGTAAATCATTCTATAATGAGCCGCCAAATGGCTAAATGAGACAGTGTAGATGTGCTATTAGGCGAGACGTGAGATATATAGTTTTTAGCATTAGTGGGTGGAAAACAAAAAACTATAAATACTCTTGTTTTCAATTGACTGTTTCAGAAAATCTTACCTAAATTTTTTTGTTTTGTATTGATTGTGTTCTTAACGTTCATTATAAGACATATCAGATTCAGATCATGTTGCACTTAAAATTTCTTTCACACAAAAATACAAGACTAGTAATAAAAGCAGGCAATTTCATGCAAGTGGTTAGCACTTGCTGTTATGTTTGGTATAAGGATTAAGTAATACGAATAAATTATTTTATTTAAAAAGTAGAGTTAATAGGAATACACTTAGGACGTGTGCGAGTTAGGCTAAGTTGATGCTAAACCAAATCGGAGATTTTTTGGTATTTTTTGCACTGCAGACATTTAGCCATTTATCGGCACAACTTAGAATTTCCCTCATTAAGAACGCAACTTAGCCTAACTTGCACACGTCCTTTATTAATAAATATGACATATAATATTGGTATTATATTGAATATACTAAAACATCAACAAAATATAAAAAATTTGTTAACTTATTTAAAGTTATTTATTAAAAATTATCATTTACTAAAAATTAAACCGAAATTTTGGAATAACAACAATTTGATGCTTTGTTATTATTAGCTGAATTCTGGTACATATACGATTTTTTTAAATGTTAAAATTATTTCTAATAAATAATATGTACTTTATATGATGTCCTTAGGTAAAGTTGTTGTTTATTTTAATAAATGTTCTTAATAATGAAATACATTTTTACATGTACACGTATATAGGCTTTGTGCGAGTTCTAGTAAATTGATGGTAAATTGAGAGAAATAGTAAATAAGTCTGTATATACCAGGATTTCAAGTAGAGTAAATTATATAAAAATTAGGTAAATAAGGTGTTACCATTGTAAAAAATTTTATAAGTTGTTTTTAATAAATATATAAATAAATTTGAAAAATTTGACTAAAAATAATAAATAAGTGCAATTAATAAATAAAGAATTATTTACATAAGTGTAATACAAAAAATCCCTAGGAAATTTCAATTTACTCGAATTCATACTACCCATACTACTTTTTAAATTTTTCTACACGGAAGCCCTAGCACAATATTTACTTTACTAAAACATATTGTATAGTTTCATTAAAAAGTTATAGTGCGTTTGTGAAAATGAGTTTTCCGCAGCCAAATAAAATTATTGACTATTCAACACCTCCTTCAATACCAAATATATTGGTTCCACCACCGCAAATACCAAAGAAAATTGAATCAGAATGTGGTAGTTACTTACAAACAAATGTGATTCCAACAGCCGGTGTTCACACACCAGCTGCAACTTTTTATCCTTTTCCGCCACCAACTATGTTGCCAACAACTTCACCTCAGTATTATAATGCACCCGTTCAAATTCCGGTACAAACTGGAACTAACGCGCCAGTTCCAACTTACAACTATACTTATGCTCCTCCTCCGCTACCACATCCTCAAGCAGCACCTTTTGTACCACAATATAATTATAGCGGTTACAATTATCATTCATATAGTGGGTACAGTTCTTACTATGGTTGTGAAACCACCGAAGCTTACCATACTTCAACAGAACCACAGAAATGGCAACCTCGTACCCATCACGAATATTATGAAAGTAACTCATACACGGAATCTGCTAGAAAAGCAAGTACACGATTTTATAGTAATCCTGCAGAGTCAGCAGAAGATGCAAGGTAATTATTTGCGCAGTAAATGATTATATTAAAGTTATTTTATTAATATATTTACTTGTATTCAGACCATTGCCAGCAAAGAATTTTACTCGCTCTTATCGTGAACGTGATAGAGAGCGTAAAAGTTATGAGGAACGTCCTCTGCCCAAACCAGAAACAGAGAGGGATCGTTTACTTAAAAGCTGGCGCTCGAATTATTGTGAAACTTCTGAAGAAATTTCAAAGAAATTAGCAGAATTATCTGAATTAGATGAGGAATCACATACATGGATACGTTCCTCGCCTGCTGATCTTTACTATCGTCGTACAAATAATGTAAATGAAGTATTATCCACTCCTCGTTTAGAAGCACTGTGTATGTTATTTGATGAACAATTAATACAACGTGCAGAACGTGTACGTGATACATTACCACCATACACTCCACCACCACGAAAACCTAGACGGCACATGTGTAAACATAAATCAGATGCTTGCTCATCTTCGTCCGATGATTCTGATGATGACTTCAAGATCGAACAAGACAATTGCATGGAAGAGTTTTCGCGTAAACTACAACATCCCTACCGCATACATTCCGACTTATGGCATAACGACACTGGCGAAATGAATGATGGTCCACTTTGTCGTTGTTCGGTTAAATCCCGGCGTATTGGTATACGTCATGGTATTTATCCCGGCGAAATTGTTTACCCAAAATGTAATCCTAATTCGAACAACGCAACAAAGTTGCATCATTATCGTATTACAATTTCGCCACCAACTAATTTTCTAACTAAAACTCCAACTATTATTAAACATGATAAACACGAATTTATATTCGAGGGATTTTCTTTGCTGACACATACACCACTTGGAGATTTGCCAACCTGCAAGGTAATACGATTTAATATAGAATATGCTATATTGTATGTCGAGGAAAAAATGCCGGAAAATTTTACGATTAGAGAAGTGGATTTGTTTAGTAAGTGCTATAACTTAAGTCATTTTTTTGAATCATTTTTTTTTTGAAATTCGTTGGTAAAATTAAAGTTTTATTTTTTTCTATTTAGCAAAATATCTCTTTCACGAGCTATTGGAATTGGTCGATTTTACATTACTGCCATTTGACGTTTCAAATGAAAATTCTTGTCCTGCATTCCACTTCTTACCACGTTTTGTGCGTGATTTGCCTGACAATGGCAAAGAAGTGCTTGCAATGTGTGAAGTACTTAAATATCTCTTGGACAGTGCTGCACCGTTAGTTGATGAAGAGCATTTAAGTTGTCTTGATGATATAAATCAATACGACTGGCAAGATTATATAGATTTTATAAAAGGTATGTTAGTTACTAAACCTGGTTACAAACCGTGCTCGTTACGTGTCGATCAACTTGATCGTAATGTAGTTGATTTGCCCGAATGCCTCGACAAGGAAAAGGGCGTAACTCATCCAGCTATTGTACACTTTGGTATACGACCGCCACAGTTGAGCTATGCTGGCAACCCAGAATATCAAAAAGCATGGCGAGAATATGTTAAATATCGGCATTTGATAGCAAATATGTCTAAACCTTCTTTCAAAGATAAACGTAAATTAGAAGAAAAGGAGGCACGTTTGCAGGAAATGCGTATACAAGGGCGCATGAAGCGTAATGTTACTGTAGCTGTAAACTCCGCAGGTTATTATCGTACTGGTATAATGTGTGATATCGTACAACATGCTATGTTAATACCAGTGCTAACAGTACATCTGAGATTTCACAAATCTCTTGACTATTTAGAGGAGACAATTGACTACAAATTTAAAAATAGGTAAATATTCCTTTTAGATAATTTTTATTTATTTATTTCTTTAATAAAATTATATTGATGACAGATACTTACTCCAACTTGCGTTGACACATCCTTCTTACAAGGAGAATTACGGTACAAACCCTGACCATGCACGAAATTCACTTACTAACTGCGGCATTCGGCAACCAGAATATGGTGATCGTAAAATACATTTCTTAAACTCGCGTAAACGTGGCATAAATACTTTAATTAATATTATGTCCCGTTTTGGTAAAGAATACGAAACAGATTCAAATATAGCCCACAATGAGCGCTTGGAGTTCCTTGGTGACGCTGTGGTAGAATTTCTTAGTTCAATTCATTTATTCTTTATGTTTCCTGAATTAGAGGAAGGTGGTTTGGCAACATATCGTGCTGCGATTGTACAAAATCAGCATTTAGCTTTACTTGCAAAAAAATTTCATTTGGAGGAGTATATGTTATATGCTCATGGTTCAGATCTGTGTCATGAGTTGGAGTTAAGACATGCCATGGCAAATTGCTTTGAAGCATTAATGGGAGCTTTACTATTAGACGGTGGTATACATGTAGCTGACAATGTATTTATGAATGCTTTATTCATGGAAAACGATCAACTAAGAGAAGTTTGGAAAAATTTACCAGAGCATCCTTTGCAAGAACAGGAACCCTTAGGTAAATATTATTGTGACCAACATGCAAATTCACTAAATAATTATTGCTTATTGTGTTAAAATATAGGTGATCGCTCACGTATTAGTACTTATCCGGTGTTGCAAGAACTGACCAAATTTGAAGCATCCATTGGAATTGAATTTAAACACATAAGACTATTAGCACGCGCTTTTACTGATCGTTCGATTGGATTTACACATCTTACGCTTGGTTCTAACCAAAGACTGGAATTTCTAGGTGATACTGTGTTGCAGCTGATTTGTTCTGAATATCTTTATCGCCATTTTCCTGAACATCACGAAGGTCATTTATCACTTTTACGTTCCTCATTGGTAAACAATCGTACACAAGCTGTTGTATGCGATGATCTTGGTATGACAAAATATGCTGTTTACTCGAATCCCAAAGCTGAGCTTAAAACAAAAGATCGCGCAGATTTGTTGGAAGCTTTTCTAGGTGCTTTGTACGTCGATAAAGGTTTATTGTTCTGCGAACAATTCTGTCATGTTTGCTTATTTCCACGCTTGCAAGTATTTATCATGAATCAAGATTGGAATGATCCAAAATCAAAACTACAGCAGTGCTGTTTGACTTTACGCACAATGGATGGTGGCGAACCTGATATACCAATTTATAAAGTCATTGAATCAATTGGACCGACAAACACGCGTATTTACACAGTTGCTGTGTATTTTCGTTCAAAACGTTTAGCTACTGCGACTGGTTCGTCTATACAACAAGCCGAAATGAATGCAGCTAAAAGAGCTTTAGAAGTTTCACGTGGGCTGTTCCCACAACTAGATCATCAAAAGCGTGTTATAGCTAAGAGTATCAAAAAACAAACTGGCGGCGAAATTGATTTAGAACTCGAAAACTCTTTCAAATGTCAGAAAAAATCAACCCCAATGCCATTAATGGAGGATGAGTCACATTTACCAAAACAGTATCGTGTGCGTGAGGATATTTCAAGTGATGAGTTACCAGAAGATGACGAAGAAGACAATGAAACTGATGGTAAGTTCATTAAATCTTTTACATATAACCATAATATCAACAATGAACAAATATAATATATATTATATTTAAATATATAGATTCCTCATCTTCAGCCTCGAATTCTGATAACAATTCTGCTTCTTTTACATATTCAAACGTTAGTAAACGTCCAAGAATTAATTATGAAAAGTCAAGTCATTCATTTAACAGTCATTTGACTACGTCTGTTAGTATGACTTCTGTCAGAGAATCGACTTATATATATAATACGAGCCAAGATAAAATCTGTGAAGATGTTAGTAGCGACGAATGCTTCGATGAAGTATTAAATAACGATGCTAAAAAATCATGTCCGTTTAGCCAAGAAATAACTAAGGCTAACCAAGAAATAACGAAGCATAACCAAGAAATAACCAAGAGTAACCAAGAAATAAAAAATAAAAATGTTTTATCTTGTGGAGCGCAAGATATTTTAACTGATCTAAAAGATTTGGTTGAGGATGTCTCGTCCGATTCAGATTTAGAGCCTGGAGAACTAAGTAATTAATAAACATTAAACATTAAATTTGTAGCTATCATAGTAGCATTTTTCTTAATATTTAATTTTCATTTTTTAATTAATATTTGACTTAGATATAAATTTGAGGCTCAGGACTGTCTTCCTTTCTGTGTATTTTTTTTTTAAACTAACTTCACTTCAAGCATTGACTGTTGTAATCTTTTTTATTTTTAAAAATTTAAAGGAAAATATCAGGAATCTAGACTATTTTTACTATAATTAGAGTTATATATTTAATTTATTTAAAAAATTATTTGACTCTACGCTTGAAAAATAGTGTTCCCTAAAAGACTTTCAGTCGTTAATGTAAAATAACGAATAGAGTTTTGTATGTGTTAATTCCATATACCAATTATAAGATATTTTTACACATTTCAAATATATTATCTAAAGTCCTTATTGGTAGTACTAAATTCGTTATATAAAATTTTTTTGATTTTTATTTGATATGATGTTGTAACTCGTCGGGATCTGCTTGTGTGATCCCTTTGGGGATGTTTAATGGCACTTAATCGTCTGGATTGGCGAGTGTCTCTGGGACGCAGACCCGGCTGTTCTTGGAACCATTTGATATGATATTAAACATTTATGATTTCATGATTGTAAAGCAGTATATGGCCTACCGCTAAACTGTTTAACACTGTGAAGACGCAAATTTCATTGTATATTATGTATTCCAGGACCAGTTGGGTTTACGTCTTCGAACAACTCATACTTTCAGGTGGAAAAGTGTTGGTTATTTTACCTAACTAGTTCGATATTTATCTCTTTAAGTTTTGTTGTACCAACACTGATCGCTATATTTGCATTTTTAGTTGCTACCAAACGTTGGGGGAAGTTGATAAGTTGATAGTATAAGCTAATCAAAAAAAGACTGATTTGTTGCCGGATATATATTATTTTGTTGTTGTCTAAAACAATACATTTTGGACAATAACTCAAACGTCTAATCCTTACTCATGTCTCCTAAATTACTGCTATTAAAAACGTTTTAACATATATACATATATTGATTGTGTCTTGTAGATCGATAGTAAAGGGTGCTGCACTTTTTGTTTTTACTAAGTCCTTACTTCTCACTTCCTATCTTACAATTTGACAAAGTCAGTGGGAAACTGATGAGCTAAAGCCCCTCCGGCCTCCAAAAACGATTGAGTCTCTATTCTGGAACTACCTGTCCTCTCTCTTACAGAAGATAAACTACCGCTGGCCCCTTCAAACAAAGTCAGGAAATAACATATAGCACACGAAAAGATTTAAAGATCGATATTCAATCGTTTTCAATATTAATATTATGCATTATTTATATAAAATTATTCAAAAGTTCTCGCTCCTTGAAGCAATTAGGTAGCTAAGGAATTAAAATATTTAAAAGTAATGAGTTTTTTTATTTGTTTTGCCAATTTTCTTTTTTAATTTCTGCTTACATCCAGATGAATGCATAAATCCTAAAAATACCTTCCATTTGTTTTTATTTTCTTTAATATTTTTATTTTTTCCATCATTTCACAAATATATTTTTTATTTGGTATTTTTTCTTATTTCCAATCTTAAATAATAAACATACTTTATAACTAAAAATTTAAATATTTACTGCAATAAAAACTGGGTTCGATTTTTGTGTATTGTTTGACAATTTATTAAGCAATCGGAACACATTTTAGTGGTTTACTTAAAAAATGAGAGTCTTCGAGTACTTAAACGACCGCCATTGTTTAGAGCGGATTGTATATCTTTCATTTCTGGTAAGTTTCCAATATCTCCGCGTGCTGCTACTGCTGCTGGACTTTCAAGAATTCTTCTTGCTACACGTTGTATATCGTCGGAATTGATTTTGTCTAAAAGAAATGTGAAATTGTGAAGATATGAAATTTGATTTTAGAAAATTTATAATTTATTATTACCAATTTCATTTATAAAATGCTCGGGTCTTTTTCTTCCGCCAGTGGCTAAAACTTGACGTCCTACATCTTCGAAAACCACAGGTCGTGATTCCAAGTTCATCAATAACATCGATTGCAATTGTATTTTAGAACGATTCAATTCATCTGCAGTTGGTTCAGTTGCCATATTAACCAATTCTTTTACCACTACTTCTACCATATCACGCACATTACTTGGTGGCGCACTTGCGTGTATACAAAACAGACCAGTGTCAGCATAAGCGTGATTGTATGCAGTAGCGCTGTACATCCAATGATAACGATTTAGCACATTGGTATAAAGTCGGGAATACATGCCTTTGCCTGGGCCACCAGCTGAGAATGACCCACCGCCACCCATCATTATGTTTAACACACAAAGCGCTACAAAGTCATTATCTTGATGAGAACAACCTTCTAGACCGATAACAATATGCGCCAATTCAGGTAAACCGGCTGCTGCATAAATTGGTATTTCACATTGTTCCTTAATAATTAAATTTTCTTATAAAAGTTATTTGATATTTGCTTCAAAAAAGTTACCTTTCGTAAGCCACCTGTGTATTGTGCTATTGATGTATCAACTGCAGTAGCACCTGTGGCAGCTATTTTCTCTGTTTCCCATATAGCGGGAGTATCAACAAAGTATTTCTGAACATATTCTACCAGTTCGCCGTGATTAACCTGAGATTGTATATTATATTTTTCGTTAATGTATTTTCTAATGCAGAAACTCGTCTGAATACTTACACCAACGCCAGCTATTACCATGCGCTCTGGGGAATGGTGGAATTTCAAGTAATTCATTAATACATTTCTATTTATAAGATCTAGATTTTGAGGTGGACACAGTTTTGGTAACCCTAGCGTATTTTCCCGAAATGCAGCAGCATGTATCATATCCATTAGAATAGGTTCCTGTTCCGGTCGCATGCCTAAGTTTTCGAGTTCAAACTGTACGGCTTTGCGTGCCAAACTTACTTCTTCGTCAAGCAATGTTGGCCTAAGCGTTACATCAGCCAATAAGCGTGTGACCGATTGTACCGCGCGATTATCAATACTGGCTGCGTAAATAAGTGTATCTCGCGAACTTTGACAATCACATATACCACCATTTTTTTCCAATTCTTGTAGTATTGCATCTTTATTGGGAAAGTTTTTGCTGGACTAGCGATATATTTATATTCTATAATTTTTTGTTTTTCAAATAATTTTAATAAACTTACATTAAATGCTAGTTTTTCAAGAAAATGTGAAACTCCACTTGGATATGTAACCTCATAACGTGGGCCTGAATCGATAACTAAGCCAACAGTGCAAAATTGTCCGAAACGTGGTTCTGATGCTATTCTTAAACCATTTTCCAGTTTAGTTACTTGTGTAGTACTGCTGTCTGCTAATGGTTTTGCATACTCTACGTCTGGTAACTCTTGGACTTCATCCGTTAGTGGTGGTAAAAACGTTACAACTTTTGTGGAAGGTTTATTTACTTGAAAAATTCCATGGTCATTACGTGATCTTCCGGTTATTTTGCCAATGCCGGTCCCGCTGCCAATTTCATTTTCTGGTACTGAAACTTTTGTAGCAAATCTTTGAAAATGTTGCCAGTAACTTGAATATCGTAGAAAACTAAAATTTTTTATTATTGGTATAGGTTATTAACACATAACAATAAATATTTCACAATTCACCTCTTGTAAGAATTTCGTATTTGGCTTAGTATTCTTTGACTCATTTTATTTTATGTGAGTTCAAATGCACTGCAATTTGTGTTTTACTTGCTTAATTTTAATTTTTTGACCGAAATATATATTTACTTAAACATTGCTTGGTATTATTACGAAAAATGAGCCTTTGGCGAACAGTTGATTTTGGTTGTCAATGTTGGGTAAAAAATTTCGTTTCTATTTTGATTTTGACATTTGCTACATGTGCAGAATGACAGCTGCTGTCAGACACGTATACACTGTAAAAAATTTTGCACTTTCAGGGTAAAGTCGTCAAAATGTAAGGATACCAAAATTTGTGTTACATTTCATTTTGACAATTCTATGAGTTTGACAATTTAAATAATAAACTGTAGGATTTGAAAATTATTCCACATATGAACAATACTTTTTAATTGTAATTTGAGTATTTGTGCAATGAAAAAAAGTATGCCTAAAAAAATAAGAAACTGTATAGATTTCGATCATAGTTTATATATGAATATGCCTATTTAAATGTCGTCTTATAAAACATCAATACTGTTTTCTTTTAATGTCGTTTTCGGTAACTTGCCGGGCATAGTTGGCAATATTTTGGATATAACGTGAGGGACTCTAGTTTTCAAAGAGTTTAAGAGTTCGAAGTTAAACCGTATTTGCATAACACCACAAAAAAAATCCAGTGACAACAAATCGCATGGTTTTGTTGACTAATTCACATCATTAAAATCTGAAATTAGAAATGCGGAAAAGTTGTTGCGCAGCAAACTCTAAAAAGGATAATTGTTTCGCTTGTAGAACCGTCCTGTTGAAACTACGTACCCTTCATATGCCTATGCTTCATATACGTAACGTCAATTTCACTCTAAAAAATCATCAATTTCATTCTAAAAAATATTCGTAATCATACAGCGGTAGTGTTAAAAATGGTTTGTGTCACATCTTCCTCTTTTTCAAAAAAAGAACGGGTCTATCACTTCTCACACATCCTACACTATACAGTAACTTTTTGTGGATGTAATGTTTTACAAATATTCAATCCTCATTAACTTTTAATAGTTAACTGAAAATATTTAAAGAAAAATTTGATAGTATAAAGATTATATAGTTGTGAAAGAGGCACTGGACGAAAAAAAACCCAAATGTAATTGTTGAAGACGACTTTTTATCTTTTTTCAACTGTGTCTTAATTGTTGGTTGTTGAAGAAAATGCATTGCAAAATGTTTTAATAAAAGAATCATCATTTTTGTAGTAAGTTCTCATAATTTTAACATATTTCACGGTTGCTAAGTGATTATAAAATAGCACACTTTAACTAAACATATAATGTTTGGAGAACTATTCTGTTCTCGCAACCAAACCAAGATCATGAAATCAATCATGGCATCAATTTTGAATTTACGTTTAAATATACTAACCAACAGCGATAATTACTATAAATTACTATAAATACCCTTATACATCCTAAATAATGTAATTCCCGCCAATATCAATTGTCTAGTTTATTAATAATAATAAAAATATAATATAATCTTTTAATTTAATTAAAAGTTAAGTTTTAAATTCATAGTTTCTTAGCTATGTCTTCTAAACATTTTTTTGTATAATCAAGTAAAAATAATAAAGGGATCTTTACTTACTCATGATCGAAGAGTTGAAAATAAAAAGACTTGTTATCCATCGCTGGATGAATGAAAGTATTTTTATAGTTATTCACGTATTCACGTAAATTAGTTATACAAAATTGTATTTTATTTCTCTTACATATTATAGTAATAAACTATATAAAAAATATCAGTGACACTTATTTCGGATCTATTACTTATTAGCCCTTACAAATATAGACTTATATATGATCTCTGAATTGTCTTATAGATTCTGTTTTTTTCATGCTCGAAGAAAATAGTATAAATAATATTACCGGTATCAGTTACATTTTCGATGTGTACTCAAAAATCCTTACTTTAGATCCAAGATATACTTTAACCTCAACATTTTAGTCAATAACCTCGATATCTTGAGTTACATTTCGTAACATTAAAGAAGCTTTTAGGAAAACAATTAATTAATTTTGATCCAAAATTCATTTTCTTTTTATTTATCCAAATCCATATTTATAATCAATTTTTTTCTATTCTCTAAGAAATCATTTTGTCAACAAATCAACAAAAAAAAAAGGTTTAAAATCTAATCAAAATTGAAGCGCCTTTTCCCGTCAAAGCGAAAGCCATAAGCTGCTGCATTCTTTGTATCCACCAAAGCTGGATTTCGATGCTTGAAGAAGCTGCCGTGACCATGCGGTGGGCGAGAAGCACTGTTGGGCACACCATCCATTTCGCGTGGATAAAAGGCTTCGAACATACCTTCCGGCGGAAGGACTGACAAGATTTTCGTGTCATTTGGATCGTAACAGTAAGAGAAACGCACGGAGAGCACAAAAATGAGAAAAGCAATGCACAGAGGTAATTTGCATGAAGTTAACATTTTTATATATTTTTATTAATTTTTATTTATAAATTTATATTTGATTTACGTTTTTATAATTTTTTTAATTAACAATTATTTTTATATACTATTTTTGAACTGAATTAATTATTATTAATTTTAATGTATACTTTCTGTTACAATTCCGAAAGTTCGCCTTTTACGTAATGCAGCGCGCACGACAGCTCCACTTCGACTCAGACGGCTTACAGACAATTTTTTTCTGTTTGCAAGTTGGCTCACTGCTCACCTTCCATTGGCTCATAGTAAACCTAACTTTGCTGGTTGAGCTATACTTTTTTACCTTGATTTGGTTGTTGTTGTGGTTGGTGTTTGTTGTCACTTTGCTTTGAAAATGAAAACATAAAAAAGACTTGAGACACAAGCTTGCTAAATATACATAACTGGCAAGCCTTATCCGCGGCTATCAAAACATGGCTTTTGTGTTTTCGAAGGTTCTGTAGATTCTAAATCAATTATTTATTGTACTCTCTGTTTATGAATTTATTTGAATATATGTTTATATACATAAAAGGAAGTGCGTGACATATTGTGCTCCATTACTACATATGCCATATGTTTACATGTGGTAAACATGATACGCCTGGACATACAAAACTTCCTGTCGTATTAGATCAGCTCAAGAATTTGCAGACTAATTTGTCTAGTAATAGGCAAAAAAGTATAAACTGATAAATGAATATATTTGTAACTGCATCGGCTGTTGCTTTCAAAGTTCACATAGTGTTCTTTTATTTTTGTAGACTATAGTATTCGCTTTTCTTGTTAAAATGAATCTTTGATCTGAGTTGCGAGTAATATTAGGTAATCAGGTACCAATTGATTTCGGGATATAGTCTGAGTCGCTCCTAAAATCACTATTTGTCCCATTTTTATTATATATTACTACATTGTCGTTAAAGTCTCTTCATCTCTTTACAAATATTTTAAAAGACTTAACTTTCTTGCTAAAATGAATCTTTGAACGGAGTTGCGAGCCATATTAGCTAATCAGGTGACGACTGATTTCGGGATATAGTCCCGGTCGCTCCTAAAATCACTATTTTTATTATATATTACTATATTGTCGTTAAGATGTATTTATTTTTTTACAAATATTTTAAAAGACTTAACTTTCTTGTTAAAATGGATCTTTGATCTGAGTTGTGAATAGTACTAAGTAATCAGGTGACGACTCGGTTGCTCCTGAAATCACTATTTGTTCTATTATTACTATATATAACTACAGTGACGTTAAAGTCTCTTTACCAATATCTCACCATTTGTCCCATTTTTATTATATATTACTACATTGTCGTTAAGGTATATTTATTTTTTTATAAATATTTTAAAAGACTTAACTTCCTTGTTAAAAAAAAATCATTGATCTGAGTTGCGAGTAGTACTAGGTAATCAGGTACTAGGTAATAGTCCGTTCGCTCCTGAAATCACTATTTGCTCTATTATTACTATATATAACTAGTGTCGTTAAAGTCTCTTTATCTCTTTACATCTTTACATATATCTCAAGAAAACGTATCTTACTAAAAACATTTATTTAACAGGCGTTCCGTTTTATAGTGTGATGTTTTAAATGTTTGGTATGTGAAAAATAATCATTTCATTAAAAACATTTCATAAAAAGACTCTCAATATCTCAAAAAAGTTTATTCATATAGTTGTATATCAAGTAGTCCATTAATTTTATGACTTATGTCTTAATCGTTCGAAAATTATGGTGGTTAAAACTTAATTTTTCTTAAGAATGTTGAACATTTCCACGGAATAAATCATTATTCTTATAATTTGATGCTTACTAAGTCCTTAATACGTTCAATAAGTTCGGAAATTATAATGGTTTAAAGTAGAAGCCTATACGATTATTTTCGTGGGAATCCTTATTTTTTTTTTTGAAATCTCACCCAATTTATTCTTGCTAATTTTTCGTATATCAATTTCACTTCGTATATCCATGTCTGATTTTCTTATAAATAGTTTTCATGATCTTCTACTGTGTTGGCAAAAAGCTGGTTTAATCATTTCTCATTTGAAGTCATGTTTTTGCGGTCTAAGAATTTTGAATAGACAAGAACAAGCGCAAATACGTAGGTACCAGAGCTGAAGAATTATGGTGGATGTGGTAGTATATCCTATCTTACTGTAAAATTTTTTCTTAAGTTTCTTAATTTGTATGAAGTTCAGCATTATCCTGATAGAACTCAATAAATGGTTTATTTTGATAAAATTTTGTATAGTCTATTGTCTTAAGGGAACATTCGGACGATATAGCACTGATGGTGAATGGCAAGTTCCCAGACACCATTAGAAACGTGATGAGAGGTGCTCTCAAATGCGTCGAAAAATGGTGTAGGGAACAAGGCCTGGCCATCAATGTCACGAAATCAGATACTATCCTCTTCACGAGGAAGAGAAGTCTGTCAATGGAGCCTTTACAACTTTTTGATAATAACATTCGCATATCAAAGTCGGTGAAGTATCTAGGTGTTGTCCTAGATAATAAATTGACTTGGAATGAACATGTGGATAAAAAGATCAGGAAAGCGAAGAGAGCTCTATTTCAATGTAAGAGAGTGTGCGGAAGACGATGGGGGATATCCCCAAAATCGATGCACTGGATCTATACTATGATGGTCAGACCTATTATAACATATGCGTCAGTTGTCTGGTGGTGTAAAGTCACCCAAAAGACAATAAAGACGAAGTTAGATAGAGTCCAGCGACTAGCCTGTGTTGGAATAACAGGCGCTATGCGAACTACACCAACACCGGCATTAGAGGCGATGCTAGGCTTGCTTCCGTTGGATTTACATATAAAGAAAACGGCGGCACTGGCAGCAATTCGCATGAACCGGAGCTCCACGTGGAACAACTTCGGAAAATTAGTGGGCCATCGTAAGATTCTTGATCTCGTCCAGGCCGCGGTCAAGGAAACGCAGATGCCATTGGAGACTATGAGGAGGGTTTATGGGACAGAAGTGTCCTACAGAACACTGATAGTAGACGGCCTTCTACATAATGAATGTGGAAGGAATGACATTTGCATTTTTACCGATGGCTCCTTAATGGATGGCAGAGCTGGTGCTGGGGTTTACTCGAAAGAGCTAAATCTAACGTGCATTCTACATCTAGGAATATATGTTTCCGTCTATCAAGCGGAACTTATGGCGGTCTCACATGCTCTGGATCACCTATTGGATTGTCAGGTATATCAGAAAAAGATTCTGATAGCGCTGGACAACCAAGCAGTTATCAAAAGCATGCAAAAGACATACATAAGTAACAGCTTGGTACAAGAATGTGTAACGAAGCTCATGGAATGTGCTCATGGAAATGAGATGACGATCATGTGGGTTAAAGGACACATCGGTATTGAGCAAAACGAGAAGGCAGATGAACTTGCAAAGCAAGGATCAAGCCATAATTTCTGTGGGCCGAAGCCCAGAATACGGATAATCTCACTTCATCTTAATAGATGGAGAGAGTTGAGCACTTGTAGACAGACCAAACTCATGTTACCTAAACCGTGGGCCAGAGAAGCGATAAAAGTGCTTAGCTATTCGCGGAGCACTCTAAGCTGGCTGACCTCACTTCAAGTATCACCTCAAAAAGATAACTCTTGCTGAGGAAGACACTTGCAGACTATGTCTAGAAGAAAAGGAGACAGCGGTGCATATATTGTGCCAATGACCAGCACTGGCAAGTAGGAGGAAGACTGTCTTGGGACACCATTGGGTTGGTGACGACTTGGCAGGAAACCTCAAGCTAAATGAGATGCTTGCATTAACAAAAGATGTAGTTATGCGAACGGAAGCCACTCCAGCTTTAACTGAATAACAATATCCGAGAATCGAAGGACGAAAAGGACCCAAGTCGTTTCGTGGTCTACTTCGACTAATCCTTCACTTCAGTGGGCCCACTTGTTGGACAGTGCGCTGTCCCAACGTCCCACCATATATATATAAGGGAACATTCATTACATGTTACCAACTCTTTTGATGAAGTATCATATGAATATAGTGTTTTTGTTGCAACACTATATCTTTTCATTTGATATATTTTCCTCTTTTTTTCATTGAAATGAATAATTCAATATTCCCAGTAGATGACAGTATATTTCAGAACTGATCGTGGTATTACTATATTGTATTTAAAAACACGATTTCTTTAAAATCCGTCTTAACAAAAACCTTTTTATGATAAATTATATTTTTTCCCATGATTTTATTTTTCATTCCATTATTCTCACATTCCGTTATATTGTGTCGCTTCTAAAGTAAATATTTTCTTGCCCTACGAGGCAATTTTTTTTTCTGTAAGAATATGCGGAACAATGTAATCTTATAAATTCAATCCCTCGGCGATATGACGAGTTATTTTGTATTTATAAGCTTCAACTAATAGGTTCTGAGTATCTCAAGTTCGCTGGAACGAAATTGTTGGCACTGCTGTTTTATCAATACATCTTCTTCATGAAAATCGAATAATTTATATTTACATTAACAGCTTTTTTACTTATTTGATCGTAAAATATACCGTTAATGTTGATTCGATTTTCTATATTTAATAAAACAGTAGTAATTACTACCTGGGACCAAATACACTTTTTCACTTGTTTATTAGCCTTGCTTACAGGTCACTGCATTTTAGGTAACGATGCTAGAAGATTAAATCTTCATTTTAATCATATCTGCAATTGTGGAGAGGACGATGAAAGTGCTTTCCATCTGCTGTGTTTCTGTCCAGCATATGCGTGGCGCCACTTACCACTTTGGGGACCTTCTTTTTTGAGGATCTTGGCGAACTGCAAGACCTATCCTTAAATAGCATTATAAGCTGTGTCAAAGATTCTAAGTGGTCCTAACGTATGAGTTTTTTAAAATACAGTAACACAATAGACTATAGTGCTTCCCATCTGCTGTGTTTCTGTCCAACATATGCGTGGCGTCATTTACCACTTTGGGGACCTTCTTTTTTGAGGATCTTGGCGAACTGCAAGACCTCTCTTTAAAAAGTATTATAGGTTTTGTTAAACGTACTAAATGGTTATAACCTCTGAGTTTTTAATTATACGGTAACACAATGAGCCTATAGGCCTAAGTGGATCTCTTGGAAAAGCTGGTATAACCCAACCTAATATTGTTGAATTAGTATCCTGTAAATATTTTAAAATCGGAATTTATTAGACTTCACTATTTAATTTGAAAATACATTCGTAGTTTGTCATTTTATGCATGTTCTTATTTTTGATGTTTACTTTTGTATCTCTTTCTCTTTCTCTCTCAATTGTTTTTTATATATTTATTTCTTTTTTCTGAAGTTGAAAATAAATTTGTTAATACTTTGTTTAGTGCCGTGTTACTCAGTTTGGTTATTTCATTACTTTCAACTAATTAGTTCGCTCATTCAATTAATCAATTCTTTCTATATTACTGTTTTCAAGGTATTGCCATACTCCTATGGATATCTAGAGACTATTAAAATAATATACGTCTTTATTTAACTAATTTTTTAAACCAAAAAATAGATTTCAATAACAGAAGTTGAGTACAGCATTATCTCTGGTGTCTGAAACGCGAATCAGTGTTTCATGTTTGGCAGGATTCAAGTTTAACCTTTGTTTTTTCCAGTCTAAGATTGTTATTCGAACAATTCAATTCCCAAATTATTTTCAGAGATCACTAATAATAGCAAAAGAATACATTAAACTCAAAAATTAAATAAAATAAGTAAAATTTTTATTATTGGATTTCATTAATACTTTTACCCGTTTTTGTCTTAAAATAATCTTTCGTCATTCTTTAATTTAAATAAATTTAATTGAAAAAAATTATTTTTTAATTATACTTTACGTTTCAGTTTTATTTATTAAGCTTATTAGTTTGGCTTTGAATTTTTAAGTAATTTAATTTTTAATATTAATCACAAAATTGTCTTAAACATATTCTTATAGCAATGAATTTCAACTAAATTAAACTATAAAAATATACATACATATACACAAAAATGTACATTAAAGTAAGGGTTTAGAAAATACATAAATAATTAGTTACTTATAAAGAAATTTATTTAAATTAAACAAAACTTAAAGTCACAAAAATCAATTATTTAATACTATTTTAGTCTTATACGCAACGTTTTGAGATATTCTAAAAAATTTATTTAATTTTTTTCAACTTTTCACTATTTGTCGCATTTAATTGTTTAATTATTAAACTTAAACGCTTTGTTCTGTCTATATATTGTATATATATTAATTTAAATATACATATATGATATATAAGCTTTATTTCTAATATTAACGAATCTGCACTAACGAATCTATACTAAAATTTGTTACTAATTAATGTGATCGTTATGTACGTAGTAGGCATGTATTGTAATAATATGTGTAATAATGATATATTTTCGATTTTGCACTTCTATAGTGGTTTCGAGTCCATATGTAGTATGCGTTTTGATTTTATGGTTCCGTAAATGGATGCTCTGAAGTTTCGCTGCTATTACGTCGACGATTTTCCAATATTTTCGTAGCTTGTTCGAGAGTTTCTTTATAAAATATATCATACATATCACTTGGCATAGAGTATTTTGTGTCGTCCAGATGCCATGTTAAGCCCAGAACTATATTAAAGGCTGATGTGTCATAACCGTGACAACCAGAATAACGATATTGTGGCTTTTTATTGTATTTGCAGCCATTTGATTGCGCACCTAAAAATATAAAAATAATAATATAGTTAGAAACATATATCTTCATAATTATTTAAATTGCACATGGCATAAATTAAAAATATTTAAAAAAATTTTTTGAATTTAAAAAATAGTTCTGTGGCTTTTCTATATCCTATAGAAAATCTTTCCAAATTTTTGTAGAACACATGTAAGGCAAACGGCATATAAAACATTATATATAGATATAAATATATATATACCTTATATATATATATATATAAATAAATATATACCTTATATATATATATATCTATACTAGCTGACCCGGCGAACTTTGTTTCCCCTTGCAATTAATTTTCCTGGCTCAGCTGAGTTATAATATTTGTTGTTATTCAACTTAACCTTTAGCATTTTAATGCGAAAATTATTTTAAATTGATTTTTTCTTTTGATCTACAAAAAGTCCACATGCATTACTTATGTTACAAATATTTTCATGTTACTTCAAATCCTTATAAGCACTACATTTTAAATTAAAAAAGGTTTTTTTAATATTATATTAACAGTTTTATTATGGGCTAAAATGTTAACTTAAAGCTAATTCATGAACAATATTTTTTGTTAGGCCATTTTAAGCGTATACATATAGATCAGAAGGTTTCCAACACGGTAACATGCAACATATAGTTGCCCATGCGAAAAACAGATTTTCCAAATTCAGTCCACATACTTTTAATGTTTGACCTGATCGCAAATGGTAAACGAATTGAAAATTGCAATCGTTTGAAATGAATTGGAACATCGGTTGGTATAATTGGTATGCATGGAAGCAATATATTTTCTCCTCTGAATTTTCCACTTAATATTGTTGATTCAATTAAGTTCCCCATAATTCTTTTAATTACTAATCTTATTCCATTAATCTTAAATGCACTTAAGCTATGCAATGGCAGTTTTACGATTCATTTTAGAGATTTTAAACTTTTTAAACAAATCAAAGTAAGCATGAAGAAATTTTAAATTTCTAATATAAATGTATATGGATACCAAAAAATAAAAAATTAATTAAAAAGACATTATCCAGTGGGTCAAATTGTGAATCTAAACCTTCCTTGAATCCACTTGAACATATACAAAAAATTTCATCAAAATCGGCTTAGCCGTTTAGGAGGAGTTCACTGTCAACACACGTACAGAAGAATTATATATATAAGATATATTTATTATTTTTATTATTTTTTAATTTATTATTTTTTTATTATTAATTTTTTATTTTATTTTTATTTATTATTTTATTTATTAAACATTCTTTAAAATTTTTGCAATGGTAACACTTAATTTACCAAATTTTTATCTAATTTACCCTACTTGAAATTCTGGTAAATACCAACATACGCTGCCATACCGACATAATTTACTATTTCCCTCCATTTACCATAAATTTACTCGAACTCACACACGGCCTCGTGTCGCTGACGCACAGCGTGGCAAAATTAAAATTAGACAATTAAATTAAAAAATTAGACATTCACACTATCTCATTTAGGCATTTGCTCATTTATATTAATGAGTGAACGTTCACATTTTAATGAACTCATTTATGTAGCTGTTAATAATATATCACACAAAAAAATTTAATATATAATTGATATAATAAATCAATGATATACACATTTTATATATCAATTAAATATTCAATTAATAAAAGCAAAGATTTTATTAAATACTTGTTTCCTCAGTGCCAATATTTTTAGCTCAGCTGTTGTTTGTTTACATTTTGATGATTTCCCTTGTGGGAAATTTATTTTTAAGGATTGCATTCGACATTTTTCGTCTTAAATGAGCTGTTTTATTGATAATTAGCTCATTTATGTGAAAGCACTTTGTATGGTAAATAATTCTCACTTTATTGGCTATAATCAGCAGAACCACCTAAAAGACACAGTGTAAATATGGTATTACTTAGTTAACCATTACAGACGGGAGAAGTACTTGGCCACGTCGACTAGCCTCCGCCAGCCAGCCCTATTAGTGAAATACAAACATCCTTCTAGAAGGAACACTTTCTTTCCTTCATACGACATGACTAACCAACGAAATTTTTATACGAATTACTATGTCAATGTTGGGGTATGGTTCATATAGCTCTAATGCAATACTCGTCACCAACGCTTACGGAACTATAGATGCTTCGAAGAATTAATCTCTCGAATGCCCCAAACGCCTTCTCATTACTGTTGGTAATTGTTTAAGATCTGCACCATACAGCAGGAGACGCATTATAAAAAACTTGTAGAGCGTAATTTTTGTTTGTCGAGAGAGGCTTTTAGTTCTCAATTGCCTACTTAGCCCGAAATAACATCATTTTTCGTTGAATCTCTAGGCTGATGTCAGGTTGGTTCCACTAGTTCCCAAATAAACAAAATCTTTCACAACTTCAAACTTATAATTGTTAACAGTGACGTGAATCTCAAGATCCTCAGGAGATTTGTTTGTTGATAAAAAGTACTTTGTTATGTCCTCATTTACCACAACACACATTTGCTTTGCTTGTTTTCTTCCTAAAAGGGAAATCATCAAAATTTAAAATATTTCTTATATGTTTTGTTTCATATGTGAAAAAATGAAAATACGAAATTCCAGGATTGCATGAACTTATCGAAAGAAAAACTAAGAATCATCACAGGAATCATAACAAGACACTGTAAAATAAAACACCATTTTACGAGACTGGGCATTTATACGGATAAAAACTGTAGATTCTGCGAAGAGAATGACGAGTAGCCACATATATGCTGTTAAAATGCCCTACGCTAATACACACAAACACAATAGACTCCTGGGAAGGAGGCAATAAAAGTATGGTATATAAAGTAGGTTCTATACTACTTTTTATTGGTGCAACAGGACTTAGAGACTTACTCTAAGCCCAGAAGTTGCCACAATACACTCGATAGTCGCAGTGCCACATCCCATTTTAAAATATGTGTATGTGTGAAATGTAAACAAGCAAGCTATTTCATATGCATAAATCAGCTCATACCAATGGAAATGACCAAATCATAAAGTGTAAGCATGTTATTAGACAGTTTGAAAACAACTCCAACTTAATAAATTCTGTTGAAAAATAGTTGAAAATTGTACTACAAATGGGAATAGAAAAGTGAAGTTGACATAGTTTTGAGTACCAATTCTTTAATTCACACCGTATCGACAGTTTTTTCGATGTCGAAGCTCAGCGCCACTCAGGGCACGGTAAGTTTCTATTCACAGGGATGGATCTCCAAGTACAGTGATGATCGAGAGTTTTGTTAAAATTATTCCAGTAGGTGGCGCAATTGTGGTAGCTGCAGGAAGTGGAAAGAAATCAACAATGAAATCGATATGAGCTGGTCCATTGGAAGCATTAATGCTAAGGTGAACGTTATCAGTGAACGAATAGTACAACTTTGATCCACTACTGCAATAGTAGATGTTGTTCCAGCAAATATGTTTGCTATTGAAATCACCACCAATGACAAACGGATTGGGAGAAAGGGATATAAGATTTCTTAAATCAGAAATTAAATTATTATATAATTATTAAAATTAAGTTATTAAATTCTTAATAACGACCTATAATATATAATATATATTATAATAGAAGGTGAATTATATATACAAAAAAGATCATTTCCAAGTTGCTGTACAGTTGAAGAGTGATTCCACAAGCCTCAGTAGAGATGAGAGGGGAAATGGGCATGTACGAAAATTTAAAATTGTCTTTGAGAAGTATAGCAATACCACTGCTAAAACCGTGTCTATCCTTTCGAACAACAGTGTGTCCCTAGAAAATATAAGTAAACCAGAATAAATTTTGATTGCAGTAATTCAAACTGTCAGGTCTACATTCCCCAAAAAAAAATCCTGAAAGAAAAAGTACGTTTGAACAGGCAAGCGAATATAATTTACATTTATAAGAGCTATTCTTACTTCACTGATATAACACAAACTTGAAGACCTCGCTCTTCCTGGGATATTAGTTTAGTGATATGCTGTTTAATTTTGGAGGCGAAAGGAAACAATATCATCAATATAGCATCAATATCAGGTAGCTAGAACGGAATGAAGCATCAGCGGCTTGAGAAGATTTGAAAACGGAAAGAAAGAAGCTTTTGGAAGCAGTCAAAGACATAGCCATTAATACAACGAATTTTCAAGGCTGTACAAAATTTGATTTAAAGATTGCTGGATTAGCTGGATGTCCTGTTTTTACATAATTGCAGCATTTGGGTAAGGTTTCCGACAGTTGTTTGGTTACAAGACCAAACATATAACTTTACAGTATGATAATACCGCTAGCAGTTAGAGTACTGTGGTGCGTTAGCGTAAACTTTACACTCGAATTTAATAATAAGGTGCAAGTGCTACGTATTGAGATATAAACATTAAAAATAAGAGTTTAATACTTAATAAACTCATACATGTTTTTTCAGATGAAATTAAAAAATACGTATCAAACTTATTTAGTTGAGATGGAAATTCTTACACGTAGTGTCATGTCCAATACTAAAGTGTAATATAATATATATGTGCTAATGTAACACACCGAAGTGGTTGGGTTGAGTTTGGAAATCTAGATTTTCAAATAGGTTAAAAAATTTGATCTTTATTAAAGAAATTATGAATTAAAATATCAATTTAAAACTTCTTGAAAAAAATTTGATTCAATACGAGATCAAGATTACTTTATTATTTAACAATATATCGATGATAAGCAGAATTTATTAGTACAATCGTGACTGATATAAAAGCACCCATACATTGTGCATTAACACCGGACTGAAACGTTATCAAAAATTTGTGATCAATTTAAAGATCAAAAGAGTAGAGATCATTCTCCAAAAAATGATTGACTCCATGCCAAAAAGGTTTAAAACTGTTATTTTTCATAAGGGATCACCCACAAAGTAATGAGTATAAAATAAAGAGTTTGATAAAAATCACTCATTTTCCAACCGTTTTTGATTTTTGTTTTGCAGTAGCAGAAAATTAACAACC